CCCGAGCCATTCCCGGCCTCTGCCCGAGCCATTCCCGGCCTCTGCCCGCAGCCCCCAGCGGGAGCCGCCCCGCCCCGCCATGCCCCCCAAGAAGCAGCAGCAGCCGGCGGGGGGCAGCAAGAAGGCGGACCAGAAGAAGAAGGAGAAGATCATCGAGGTGAGGGAGGCCCCGGGGCCGCTCTCCCGCCGCGGCCTCGCGCCGGGCCCGGCCCGGCCCCCCCCGGCTCCCGGCGGCTTTCCCGGCTGGAATGGTCACAGAGCCAGGCGCCCGGCGTTCCGGGGGGTGCCGGGGCGGTGCCGCAGCGCTGCCCGGGCTGCGCTGGGTCCAGCGGGGCATTTCCAGGCCGGAGCTGCGTTTGCTCCGACCGTGATCTGGCATCGGCGCTCGGCCTTGTTCTCCCCTCTCCCTTTCCCACACCCCTCCCGGTGCCTTGCGTGTTCCTGTGTTCCCCGGGGCCGGCTCGCCGAGCTGTAGCTTTGCGTCCTTGCGGGTTGGGCCGGGTGCTCTCCAGAGCTTCCTTCCAGCCCTCACAAGTCTGTGATTTCTCGCTCAGTTTAAAACACGGGTGTGGTTTGTTTTGCGGCTTCTTGTTACAATTCGACCCATGTGACCAGATTTTTTTAAAAGGCTGCAAGAGGGGTGTCTGTGTGTCTGTTTGTGTGGCTGTGTGTCTTGGTTATTAGGACAGTCACACCTTGTGCTAACAACGACAGAATTTATGTTGAGAGCACAAGCAGGGCAGTTACAGCAAATTACATATTTACCTAAATTTATTGGCATGAAGGACAGTAGCTGCTCAGCTGCTGAGGCAGAACATCCGTGTGATGTGAGTGTTCTTTGGCATCTGAGGCTGCAGGATGTTGTTTCTGTGCTCTTTGGAAATATGAGGTTAGAGCAGTTGGTCCTGTGTTCTCCTGGCTTTGGACTTTCTGAGGTTCTTGCTGAATCCAGCTGCACAGGAAAAGTCTGCTTATTGCAAAGACATGCAGCTGAAAGGGGAAAAGCTTGCCTTGATTGTTAACTTACTATATAATTCAAATACAGAGGGATTATATCTTCCATGTGGTGTTTGCAGTGGAAATCAAGCGTGTGAATGATAGATTTTCTTTCCCAAATGATTATTTCAACCTCTCAGATTAGCACAAAGTAACAGAAGACCAGCTGGTGTTGATATGAGGATATGTTGTAAGTGAATCGGAGCTGTTTATTCTGTAATTATTTTATCACAGATTTTTGGATTGTTAGGGCTTCCAAAATTATGTTTGACCTGAAGTGTTACCACTGGATGAACATCTGTTACTTTTTTCTGGAAGGAAAAGAATGTTGTTATCAAATCAAAGGCACAGGTGTTTTTTAATGCAGGTATTTCAGTAACTGCTGCCTCAGGTGCTTGTGTGAAAGTGAGATGTATGGGGGTTTTTTTTGTAAGTTGTTTTTGCTAGGTTTGGTATGGAAACATCTCCTTATCAATAAAATTGAAGATCTAGAGGAAGAATTGGTTCAGGCAGTAAACAGAAACTTCTGGCAGTGGGGTTCAGGAAGTAGAAACACCTGTCAGGACTTCATGTAGGGCAAAGACTTAACTAGAAATTAGTACAGTTAGAAAATGAAAAGCTTAAAAGACTTGAAATTAAGAAGTGGTATGTTACATGTGGTAACAGGCATCTGCATAACATGCATCACATTTATATGTGAATACTTGAAGATAGAAGTAATAAGTGATTTCAGGTAGATAGAAGGAAAAAAGGCAGCATTTATGGCTAATCAGTCTTCATATTTTCCTCACATGTTACTTGGGTAGTGTCCAAAAATATCTTGTCCTGTTGCCTTGAGAATGCTGTGTGTGCACACTGACACTGGGACACAGGAGAGCTGGTCATAAAAACAAGAGCTCACACAAGGCAGCATTTAGGAGGTTCTGTCACAGGTTTATTCTCAAGATATTTTGAGGAATCCACATTTTGTCCATGCTGTTTCTTGGATTGCTTGTGTGGAAATGATCTCTGTTTCACTGAACACTTGAAAGGAGTGGGAAGGGTGGGATTGTTTTGTTTTGGTTTTGTTTGGGTTTGTTTTTTAATTCACTGTGGCTATGTTCATCTCTTGATTTAGGACAAAACATTTGGCCTAAAGAATAAAAAAGGTGCAAAGCAGCAGAAGTTTATCAAGGCTGTGACTCACCAGGTGAAGTTTGGTCAGCAAAATCCCCGTCAGGTAAGCATTTATTGTCCAGTGTTTATTGTAATTTCAAGTGCAAACAAGTCTGAATCTATTTGGTGAACTCTTTGGTCCAAGAAACTGAAATTCTGAGCCACTGCCTGCTACTTTGCTCTTCTGTGTGATGAAATAAAAGGAGATACAATGGGTAGATTATACTTAATCAAAAAATGTGGATTTAATGGAAATATTATAAAGGAAATGATGCAGGTCTCTTATTCTCTCAGTGCTGGGGAGGCTGGTTGTTAATTATTTACAGAGCTTTCTGTTCTATGAATAAGCCTGTAGAATAATTACATTTTGTCAGCTAAATTCATGAGGTCACGTTGCATTCCTTGAGTAACATAAGGATGAACTAACAGATGTCAGGTACAATTTGAAAAGTAAAGCTGATATTCAGGTCATTAGATGTAGGAATTTCTTGTAGTGGAAAAGATTCCTTGATGTCACTTGAAAAACACTGGTGGTGTTCAGACAGTTCCTCTGAAACTTGTCCATGAAATCCCTGGATCTGTGGCATGTATAGGAATACCAGTGTGTAAATGAGCCAGCCTAAAGTCATTTATTTCTTAAATCCTGGTAGCTATTGACTGATGGATGGCAGAAGCAAATTTTTAAACCTGTTTATACCTTTCTTATCTTTTAAAATAGCTGTCAGTTAGGGCTGTCCCTGAGAAAGAAAGCATTTTAAAGCAATTTTCCTCGTGTCCTGAAATGAAAATGAAAATGCTGACAGAGTTTTGGCCTTGGTGTGTTGGTTTTTTTTTTTTGTTGGTTTGTATTTTTAGTTTCTTTGGCTTTTGGGGGTTTTTGTTTGGTTTTGTTGTTTCATTTCCTTTCAAGACAAGCTTCACCTTCATGCCTTTAGAACCCTAGGGTGAAACAAAAGCATTCTGAAGTATTACTTTCTGTAGTTGACATACATGGGTCTGCATGTTATACAGAATAGCATTTGTTAACCTTCAGTATGAAAACTCACCAAGCTGCTAATTCCCTTCTAAAATTTTTTTTGAGAAATTCACAGAAATTCTAAGAACAAAGATCCTTTTTTAACATTACACTGTGTTTCAGAAAAAAGTACCCCACATACTCATACAGTGGTGTCAGTCTCACCAGCTTCCATAAGGATAAGAGTCAAATAATCACAGAATCATTGAGAAGACCTCTGAGACTGAGTGCAGACGTTACCCAGCACTTGTGTTCATCACTAAACCTCATTCCCAAGTGCCATATCCACACATTTTTGAACACTTTCAGAGGTCATGACTCCACCACTTCCCTGGGCAGCCTGTTCCAATGCTTGACCACCCTTTCAGTGAAGGAATTTTTCCCAGTAACCAAGCTAAACATTCTCTGGTGCAACTTGAGCCCGTTTCCTCTTATCCTGTCATTTGTTACTGCCCCCCACCTTGCTACAACCTCTTTTCATATCTAATATAACAATGTTTCTCCCATATCCTCTTCCATCTGGTTTCAACCCACTGTGGCAGGGATACAGGCATTCTCTGGCTTATCCAAAAAGGGTGAGGCAGAGTCAGGTTTTTTTCCTTATACATAAACTTTTTCTTTCTTAGGTGAGCTTGTTTTCCAGTCCTTGGCCCCTGGGGCCTATAGAATGTGCTGCATTATAAACCACTTGAGGCTGTGGAATTGATGTAAATTGCAATGGTGCTTTAAAAGCAGTTCCTAAATTCTGTGGAGAGCTTTCCTGGGACTGCTGCTGGTATACAGGAAGAGAAAGTGCAAAGCAGCGTGGAGGGGGCTAAAAGGAAAAGGCTTTTTGCACAGATCTGGAAGGAGCTGCCTTGAGTAGAGCAGAAGAGCAATGAATCTCTGTCTCTCAGTGACTTCCCCACCTTAAAGGTGGAGTAGAGGTCACTGGGGCACTAAAGGTATCTACCAGCATCCCACTGCTCTGACAGATTTGCAATCCCTCCTGTGTGACAGGTCACTGCCCACAAGGGCAGCAATTCTGAGCCTTCCAGGCATCACAGGTTCTTTCCTTTCTCCCCTCAAAAACTAATTTAGAATGATTGGCTGTTTTAACGTGCAGTTCTTGTGAAGCCAGTCCTGGCACTCTAATTCTACGTTTGTAACTTTGAATTTGGGGTTGTTATAGGCTGCTCAAACAGAAAGTGAGAAGAAATTAAAAAAAGAAGACAAGAAGAAGGAATTACAAGAATTAAATGAGCTCTTCAAGCCTGTGGTTGCTGCACAGAAAATTAGCAAAGGTATGACTGACTGATTTCTCTGCATTTATATTCTCTTATTCATGTAGCTACTTGAGGTAGAATAACCCTTCAGAAACACCAGCTGATATTTTAATGAAGTAAATGTGACTGCTTCCTTCCCCATCTAGTGTACCAAGGAGTTTGTCAGTAATGATTTGACTTTTTTTTGGAAGTTATCTGGGGTCATTAAATCATTAGGATATCAAAAGCTACACTGATATTGACTGGGAAACTGAAGATACTTTGATGTTTCTGGTTCATCAATTGGATGTTTCTGGATGTGTAGCATGATTTTTGTGTGTGTGATGGTATTTAAAGCAGCCTGTCTCCTCAGGGAAGTGTGAACACCCAGGTATTGCAAGGAATATAAGATGGTAACTGTTGTTTTCACAGAAAAGTGCTACTCAAATCAGAACAGTAAAAAATCTCCAGTTCTTTCTGTCTGACCTCACAATTAGCAGTGGTGCTTGGTTTTGGAAGTGTGGTTTGTCTTGAGCTTGGTTATTGAACAAACTTAGTTTTGTGATGAAATCTTAAGTTTTTGTTATAACAGTTCTGTGTTTGACACTTGGAGGAAACTCTACAATTGGCTGCCATGTGTGAGGAAAAAACATAATACCTGTTGGAGTGAACTAAATGTTTTCAACTCTGTTCGTTTTCTGGAACACATGAAATCATGTGCAGTAATTTTTGACAAAAGAAGTGTGATTTCCATGCATGTTTTTAAGGCAAACCTGATATTTGCTCCTTGTGATCAGCAACAGGAGGCAGTTTCCTCTTTGTGATCTGCAGTGATCAGCTTTCTCTAAATAAAGTAGCTTTTGACTTCAAGGGGTATCAGAAGACTAATGTTGCCCAGATTTTTAGATTACATTTTAAACAGGTGTTGCTGTACCTGCTTTTGTCACTGGTGAGTCTCACCAAGAGTGAAAGCAGCAGGGGAAAAACTAAAGCTTAAAATCTTATATGTGTATTTACTGAACATTACAAGTCAAGTATTTCTCATTTGATCATGTCTCATAAATACATTTCTCCCTGCTTTCATTGCTTTTCCTAATGACCTCCTAATGGTCAAATAATTCTTTAGTGCCATGGCTTTTACTTAACCTGTAGTTAGATTGACTGAATTGTTTGTTCTGTTATAAAAGTTGTTTACTTTGGGGACTATGAACCCATCTTATTTCTATTACTGAAGAAAGTGGTCTGAATGGGCACAGGTTAAATTGTTATAATTTTTTCTAGTGATTTCTTGTTCTGTTGGGAAAAGGGTAACATTCAGAAGATGCTTTACTGTGTATTAGAGACAAGAATAGGGAAGAAGTTGCACAGTGATCTCTTATGTCTCATATAAATATATAAATTATATAAATTTGCTCAGGCACACTGCTGTCCATATTGCTTTAAATAGTCAAGTGCCAGCTTTGATACTTAATGCAAATATCATGCAATAAAAGCAAGTATGACATGTTATTTTAAGAAAGCATATATATTAACGTTATTTAAAAAAGGCATTTTCATTCTCTATAAATCCTGGATATTTTTCTCAGAATTTCTAATGTATAGATTTTGCTGAAAAATAATGTTGAAATATAAAAACTTTCTTCACTCAGGTGCTGACCCCAAATCTGTAGTCTGTGCTTTCTTCAAGCAAGGACAGTGCACTAAAGGAGACAAGTGCAAGTTTTCTCATGATTTGTCTTTGGAAAGGAAGTGTGAAAAACGGAGTGTCTACATTGATGCAAGAGATGAAGACCTTGAAAAAGGTAAAATACTTTTGGAAAGTTTGATCCTCAAGTTACATGATCTGACCTTCTGGATGTCACCCTCCAACCTTACCTTTTTTCAGTTGTCATATTTTTATTTTTTTTAATTTCTTTTCCCTTGTTCTTGCTTGAGTACTGTACAGATGGAATGACACATTATTTAGTCTTTGACTGAAACACATTCTATGCATTTCAAAACTCAGGCTTTTCAGGAAATTGTCTTGTGAGTGGCACTGGGGAGTTTGAAAACTTTAAGAGCCTGCATTTATTTTCCATTGTATAAGCTAGCTAAAATAGAAGAATTGCATACTTTATAAAACTGTTACTAGGCAGCAAAGCAACTTGACAGCAGTGTTCAGTACTTGGAATTTTTGTGCGACCATCTGTTTTCTTTTTCCAGATACAATGGACAACTGGGATGAGAAGAAGCTGGAAGAAGTGGTGAACAAGAAGCATGGTGAGGCGGAAAAGAAAAAACCCAAAACCCAAATAGTAGGTGGTCTGTCTTTCTTTTCTTTTTTTTTTTTTTTTTGTTTTTTGTTTTTTGTAATTGAGCTGTAATAGAGGGAATTAAGTGCAAACTGGTATTAGATATGTTAATCTAAAGATTTTGACTGGAATCTCATAACCATGTTATGAGGGCTGGGCTGATAGTTTTTCTAATAATATATGTTTTTAAAAAGGCAAAAAGCCCACAACCCCAAGGCTCTTTTCAGTCATTGTGTGTTCTCATGTAAGTTACAAATGGATAGTAGGTAAAGTGCTTTCAAAATAGAAATGCTAAAGGACTCAGTAATAATCTAAGGCAACCTACTTGGTTAGAAGATTCACATGTTGTAATTAATTAAGTCTATCATCTCATTGCAGTGACTGCCATATATATTGGCTTATTTTTGTGCTGGGTGACATACAAGCATTAGAAGTTTTAAAATTTTCTCCTTTGTGTTGGAATTTGCTGAGTGAGTCATTTGTAATTCCTGGGCTCTAAGTTCAACAGTATTCTTCAGTTTTGCATTAAATGACATAATGTGTTAATCCTTTTCTCGTTCTTCTTTGTTTAGTTTTTAATAGCAATGCATGTCACACGTTCCTTCTGTTTTGAGCACAGCTGACTTTTTGAATTACTCAACTTCTGGGGTCTAAAATGCTGGGGATGAAAAGAGAAAACACAGGTCTAACCACCATTGTTTTATCCAGGTCTGCAAATATTTCCTTGATGCTATTGAAAACAACAAATACGGGTGGTTTTGGGTCTGTCCAGGAGGAGGAGACAACTGTATGTATCGCCATGCTCTGCCTCCAGGCTTTGTATTAAAGAAAGACAAAAAGAAGGAGGAAAAGCAAGATGAAATTTCCTTAGAAGACCTAATAGAAAAAGAGGTAAGGTTGTCAGACAGGTACCTTTTGGTGGTAGTTGTCTTTACTGTCGTTCTGCTCTGAAGAGACAGATGTAAAGAACCTGCTGATTTCTAATTAAAAACTGTAAGATGTTGTTACAGCTGTAAGAGCCAGGGGGAAGATGTGTACTATTGATTCATGGCTTTGTTTAGGAAGCATTACCTAGTGAAGAGAACTAACTATAGCAGCATATGCAGCTGTTGCTTATGCTTTTTTAGGAGCCTTCTATTTCTTACTGCTATTTCTCATTTATCTATTACAACAAAGGCTTCTGGGCCCTTTCTCATCCCCAGCTCAGTCCCCTTAGTTCTGCCATAACTCTCTAATGAGGAAGCAACACCAAGAGGACAAGGCCTTCTGAAGGTGTTGCTGCTCTGCTTCTTTCTGTCCCCATTGCTTGGCAGTGTCATTGTGACAAGAACTGAGCTGTTATTGTTACTTTCTTTCCCCCTTCACTTTCCCCATTAACTTTCAGGTCAACTCATCTCACTAACTGGAAAATCACATGTTGAGTCAAACAGTAAGATGATGGTACAGGTTTGACAGTGCTAAGAGTCAAGAAAGAATTGGAAAAAAATGCTTGCTATTGGTTCCTGGAAAAGTGTAATTAAATTTTAATTTGTTAGAGCCTTTGGAAAGAGTTTCTAGCATTAATCAGCCTCTTTCCTTGTGACAGCGTGCTGCCTTAGGACCAAATGTTACCAAAATTACTCTAGAGTGTTTTATTGCATGGAAGAGAAGAAAAAGACAAGAAAAAATTGATAAGGCTGAGCAAGATATGGAGAGGAGGAAAGCAGATTTTAAAGCTGGCAAAGCATTGGTGGTAAGTTCTACAGTCCATGTCTTAATACAAGAAGAGGGAGTAAATACAGTTTCCTAATAAGGTAGCTGGCCTGGAATTGCTTGGCTTTTTTTGGTGTCCTTTTATTTTCCTTCCTTTTTTGTGGTTTGGGGTATTTTTAAGCAGTATAAATTCCTTGAAGTAATAACTGAAGGTTTCTTCTCCTGTGAACAGATTAGTGGACGTGAAGTATTCGAGTTCCGGCCAGAGCTGGTTGATGCAGACGATGAAGAAGCAGATGACACCCATTATGTCCAAGGAGCAGGAGATGAAGATGAGGTAAAGAACAGGATTAAATCAAGTAACGTTTCAGTGGCGTTCAAATTTGAAAGATTTTGATTTGAGAACTCTTACAGTGCAGTTAATAAGCTTGGTTCTTAATTTAATACTGCCACGGAGTAGATTTGATCAGAACGTTCGTGTCGAAGGTGGGAAAGGTGGTTGCAATTGTGCAGACGTGAGGGCTTTTGTGGAAAAGCAGTTCCTGCAGAGCACCCTGGTGTATTTTTCAGATGGAAGACCCTGTGTGCATAAATGATGTGGATTTGAACCTGTATGTCCCCAAGGCAGTGGAGGAGACTGGTATTACAGTGGCTAGTCCTGAGCGATTCAGCACGTACACTTCAGTAGAAAAAGATGGTAAGTTCTTCACTGAGGTGTCACTAACAGAGCATTGTTAGTTAGGAGATTGCCAAAGGTAACGGCAATTTGACTCCCCCTCCCTTTTTAAACCAATAATTCAGTTCTCTTAGTGGTACATGTAGTTACTAAAGCAAAGGCTTATAGTAAATGCTATGTACTTACTTTATGGCCACTTCTAGTACCTCTCTAAGGGGCTTGTTTTAAGTTCACCTTTTTTTTTTTTTTGATTTTTGTAAACCATAGAATGAACAATATAAGAAAGATCCAAGCTTCTATTTGTTTTATTTTTTTCTTTCTATTTAGCTTGTAACTTCTTAGAGCAAAGTCCTGGTCTTGGTGCACTTGTGGAATGCATGCCCCAATCTTTAAGAGCAAGTGTCTTCCAAGTGCAGACATTGGGTAGGAGCAGCTCATTGTTTGATCCAGTTATGAAAATAGCAGTTTGAGGAGATGGGAGTTGGAGTTATTTGGGGGTTTTTTCCACCTGTTTTCATAATTGGTTATCCAGACCTGCATGTTAATCAGGTATATGCAATTTAACCAATATAAATCTACATGAATTTCAAATAAAGTAACTTCTACGCAGTCTCAAAACTTGAAAGAAGTTGGGTAGGATTGTGAATTCAGATTGGTGATTAGGAGACTTGTGACACTGAAATCCCTAAGAATTATGTTTATTTTCAGATAATAAATTAAGTGAAGCTTCTGGTGGTGATATAAACAGCAGCGAGCAAAATGATTTAGAGGAAGATAATGATGGAGATGGGGAACTGGAAAATGGAGTAATTGATGCTGTTCCAGTTGATGAAAATCTGTTTACTGGAGAGGACTTGGATGAACTAGAAGAAGAACTAAACACTCTTGATTTAGAAGAATGAACTAAAAAGCTCAAGTGAGGAATTAAATCTATGTGACAAAGTGAAAACTGACTACTTTTTTTCTCCTTTTTGAATAGAATTCTTAAACAAGATGTTTTTGGTTATGCAGCTGAATATGATGGGCACGTGGTATCCCAGGAATGTTTTCCTTCAATCTCATCTACTCCAGTCTTGACTATGCTCACAGTAAAACTTTCAGAGTAGGTCAGAATTACTCGACAGCTGAATTTGCAGACAGTGAGATTAGAACTGTCAACTAAAGTAAGAAGTGTAACTGCTTTGCCAGTATGCAAGTGGGCAATTTGACACCAGGTACAGTATAAAAATCCAAGTATTCATTCTTCACAGAAATTGCATTTTTATTAGTGATTGGTGTTGATTTAGAAACTGCCTGAAGTGGTTTTTAGGCAGGACACTCTAATGGAGCTGATGCAGATTACGCTTCTTTAAGTGGTGATTAGCTTTACTTGATCAGCTGGATACTGAAGATTGTCAACTGATAGATCATACAATACAACGTGGTGCCCTCTGTTTAAAACATTTTAAACTTTCTCACCACCTTTTGCCAATAAATCTGTAAATAAAAACTATCAACTTTAAAGTACCTGTGTTGATTTTTCTCTGCTGAGTTAGGATATCAAACCAAACCATTAAGAACTGAATTTTCTAATAGAGTGGTAAATGTTTTTCTCTGCAGTCTTGATACAGAAGTGATGATGTTGGCTTCAGTTAAATTTGGACTACCTGTAATTACAATTTTTTTGCCAACACTTGATGCAGTGTAAAATTCAGCAGCCAGCTTTTCTCCCTTCCTGTTCTTACTCCCTGCCCACCCTTGAACTGATGTCATACCTGCTGTGCATCACTCCCTGCCATTCCAGCCTCCTCCTTTCCCCACTGTCTTTTGCAGACTAGTGAAGACTCCAGGCTCTGCAGAGCAGGGATGTTGAGGTCCAGGCAATGCCTGGCTTGCCTTTGGAGTGCTGGAAATAGCAGGAGGTTGTGCAGGGCTGAGTTACCTGAGGGCAGAGCAGTGCTGTCAGGCTGCCATCCAGTCAGTGTGTCCTTTCCCAAAGGATTGAGGCCTTGCCATAAAGGTTTCTCAGTGGTGGTGCTTTCACAGGCTGTATCTCCTTGCCTAAATACCAGTAATACCTGCAACAATATTACTGTACTAAAGATTTGTATCAATTTTTCTAAAGCTTTTAAAGTACTACTTAAAGACCATTAGAAGTCGAGGTGTTGTTAGTGAGCTCTCCCAAACTGCTTTTGGGTGGGAATATTGGCTTTATAATGGTTATTTCTGGCACTGCTGAATTGACTCTTGTACCCTGAATGCTATTTCTAAATTAGCTGACTTAGACTTTTTTTTTGCCCTTTTTGGGATCTTTGTGGAATTCGTTTTCTCCTGTAGGAACAAGCAGCAGTACTTGGCAGAAAGAGGCCTGCAGAACTTGACTTCTAAATGTAAGTGTTTAAGGAAAAGCTACAATATCAGATGGAAATATTTATTTATGCAGATTTTTTCTCCCCATGGCCATGAATAAACAGTGTTGACAGATTGTTGTATTATACTGGCCAGCAATAAGATGCCTGGCTATCAGGACACTTAAGAATGCAATTCATTTGAATGTATGTTGCATAATTTTTCAAAGTTGTATATTTTAAATGGGAATAAAAATAATTTAATCATTATCAAGGATGAGAATGGCTTTCTATATGTTGTGACTTAAAGGCTGGTTTTTTGCATATAAATACTCATTTCTTTAGTACTGATCTGCTTGACAAGTATAAATAGCTTAAGCCTTTGCCAAAATTGTGTTTGTGTTACTTAAAATGTGCATTTTACAGTGGAGGAATGACAGGATGACTCATACTAATTTCAGCTAATAAAACACAGATGAGCAGAGAGAGAGTGTCCTTTTGGGTCTAAAGGGCTTGGTTGTGGTGCACAACTCCTTTTGTGCAGGTGTTGGTTAGGCATTAGGACAGTCACCTTGCATGGTCCTGAAATACATTGAATATCCATGAGTTAGTTGAAGAAAACCTGATTTTCCTAGGCAGAAGTTGTTGACATATGGCTTCATGTGGGCAGGAAACAATAGTTCTCTGTTCCTGTTTGTTTTTTACCCTCTTTCCTCTTAACTTATTCGGGCTGAGCTTGTTCTGGCTCCTTGGCTTGGTTGCTCTGCCTGGATTTCCACCTGTGAAAGCAGTAATTGCTTTTAGAGAGTTCTTTGTTGGTGCTCATTCAGACAGACTCCTGAAGGTGAGGTGCAATGTGTTGCTACATGTTCCTTCTGCTCACAGATAGGCTTGAATATAACCTGCTAAAGGTCCTGAATTTTCAGAGTTAAAGGAGCCCAAATTTGCAGCTGACAGGGAGTTTCAGACAATAAATGGCAATTAAAAATGAATACCAAGGCCTTGCTTGGGGTAGATGAGCTATTAATGTTTTGGAAAGGAGCACTGTGATAGAAGGGAGTTCACCTGGGTATGACATCAGTAAGTTGTTCCTGTTGATGCAAACTTCACCAAATTAGTCTGATATCGAGTGAATGAGTCACTTCTGGAAAAACGAGATATAATCTGAATCCTAAAATAATAGTGTTTTCATTTCAGTGACTGTCCGGTTATTATGGGTCAAAAATAGAGTATTTCCTTGTTGCAGGAGCAGGAAGGCTCAGCTCAGGACACACACTGGGTTCAGGTCAGGCTGTAAAGCACCATAAGCTGGGTGAGTTTGTAGCCCTTGCAACCTGGGCCCTGTTTGTGTCATCGTGGTGTTCTCCTACCTCAGGTGAGCACTCCAGGAGCAATGTGATGGGGCTGTGGTTTGAGCATCTCCTGAGGACAAGCTGGTGTAGCACTGCCTTCACAGCACCTTTGGCACTGTCCCCCTGTGGGGACAAAAAACAATTTAAAAAAATGCTGCAGTAAAGCCATGCCTTTCCTTCCTGGTGTTTGCTGTTGTGGGGGTGGAGTATTTGTTGGCTTTCAGCTTCAGTGTATGTTAAAATCCCATTTCAGTCACACACACAGACTGCTTGCCCTGCTGTAACTGGCTAGCTTTAAATTCAGTCAAGTTGGGGGGTTTTTTTGAGACCTGTATGATTGAATTTTATGCTTGTCACTGCTTTGTTATTCAGAGCTCCCTGCTTTTTTTTTTTTTTTTTATAATAAACACTGTGCACAAAGGGCTGGAAAAAATTTGGTTAAAAATTAAAGATAAAAACTGACCTTAAATATTACATTATCTATGAGTTGTTTGTAATAGAAATGTTGCTGGTTTTTTAGTGGACAATACTCCCCAGCTGCTTTTTATCAAGGGGAGCTTTCACTATTGATAAACTTTGGACCAAGCAGTGGTACTTTTCTTGGCAATCTGGTATTGTCAAAATAGATAGTGCTTGTTTGGTGTGTTGGTTACAGAAAGAATATACACATACAAACTAGTATGTTTATTCATCTTTCCTTTCATAGTTCTTTAGTCAGATGTGGAATAATAAGTGCCAAAAAACCCCTACATCTCAGACATTCTGAATGCTGAGTTCTAATTCTTTTGCTAATGCTGATGCTGCTTTTTAAAAACTACCTGAATGTAGTAAGTAATGCAGGCTTAAATATTTTGTAAGCTTATTTATCTTGCAGATAGCCTACTTGGAAGTTGTACAAACAGTGTTTGTTATTCCTGTTCCCTGTGCTGCTTTGTAATAACTTACTGAAACTGCAGAGTGATCAAACAACTAAACTAAAAGATTAAGTCTTTGTTTTCCTCACAGTGAAATTATTACAACCCTAAGCTGAGAGGAAGGAATTGCTCTCATATGCAGATATCTCCATATATATTCATTCACCTGAAGTGTCTCAGGAGAAACACCCCCTGAATAACATGAATAAGAATTGGAAATATGAGATCTGGGAAGGCCAGAGGAACTGCCCAAAAAACTTGTGATAGCAGCTGCACTGGATCAGCCCAAGAGCCTGTTTATCAAACTCCAAAAAGCAGAGCCATGGGGAGGGAGGAGGTAAGAAAAGGACAAGCCCCTGCACTGCTCAGGAGTGCTTGTCATATGGAGCTTCCAACAGTTCTTATTCTGTAAGATTGGCTCTTCTAGATGTTGCCCTGTGCTGGCTTTCTCTTGTGAGTGTATTCCCTCTTTATCCCTTGAATCCTTGTACATTTTTATTATCCTTTGGAAACTTGAGGGTTCCACAGCTCTGCTGCATTTTGTTTTGAACGTGACTCCTATTACTGTTAGATCTCAAGGGAAAAACACTTGAGAAAGTCATATCCTATGCCTTTGGCTTGATGCCAGCTAGAGAAAGTGGCTATAGAAAGAGGAGTTAATGGCTTTCAGTTGTGAAGAACACAGTCTCTTGATGTATTTCAGTGCTAGAAACAGGTTTTTTCCAAAATTAAAAGCTTTCTCTCTAAACGTGCTTCATTTTTCTGCTACTAATGGGCAAAATCTTTCATAAAGCAAATGCTTCCTGAATGAAGTATTTGAATGGAATCTTTGCTTCTGGTTGGCTACCAGGGGTGTTTTATGTAGCTGTGATCACCTAAAGTGCTTTTACAGTGATATCTGCAAATCACCCTTCTCTTTTTTTTCTCTCACACTGGTATCAGAGGTTCAGAAGAGATCTTGGCTTAGCCTGTCACACTTAGTTCTTTCCTTTCAATAGATGCTCTGTCTCTTTACAGAGAGCAGCTGTTGCTGGTGTTAGCAATAAGGCCAGGATGTTTTATTCATTTATGATGTTACAGCCCTAATATGTGACCACAATAGGCTCCTTCATAGCACATTATTGAAATGAATGCCAAAAATAATCAGTTCTTTCAATCATAAAACAGCAGCAGCATCTCATTTGTGTTTAGGGAAAGAGACCTCAGAGATAATCTCATTATCCTACATTTTTGGTTTGAAACTGCTTATGGAGTCTTGTAATACATTTGGACATAAATTTGAGCAGGGCTGAATTAATACTGAAGAGATGTTCCTGAAGTTACCCAATCAGACTTTAAAAGCACAGTGGCGTCCTAAATTAAAGGAATATTAAATGGAAAAGAAAGCATCACAGCTTTCCTTTGTTTCCTAAAGGAAAGAAGAGGAAGCAATCCTGAAGGGAAGATAGGAGAGAATGACTATAAAGCTTGCCAAGTCTAAACAATATTCTTTGGACAGTCAGCCATTAGGGAAGTGTGTTCTACAGATGCTGCATCCTTGGACCTGTGCTGGAATGAAACTGTGGGTGTAGCACATCTCTTGTAGCTGTCGAAATTCAGTTTACACCTTACATTTCTCAAGCCTCTAATGCATTTTGACAGGCTTGCTACTCTAGGGGAACTTTTGTCCTCTTCACGTCTCACCTCCATTCCTGTTTTGTTCTTGGTTTACCTTCTTGTGCGCTTAATATGGCAGATAAAGACTGGATTAAAGACATCGCAGGACTTTGGTCTCTGCACAGTAACACAAATCCATTGCAACTCTCATTCACTGTTTTCTACCAATCTTGGTGTCAAGTAGTTCAGTTGTCTGCTTTGGGAGCAGTGGACTACTTCAGAAAGAGATTAATTGACTTCCACTATAAAAACTCCACAGCTACAACTTCAGGCCTCCTTAGAATCAACCAAGTTTCTGGGCAAGAAACCGTTTTAATCTTTGCTCTCCATCACTTTCCTTTGCTGTCTTCTCCCTGTGCCAAGGATAAACACTGCAGAAGGGGGGCTCTTCTGGCTGACCTCTCTAATCCATCCCAGCTCTCCTGGCAGTGGCTGTGTAATCCAGCTGCTGCCTTCCTCCTCTGGGCTCTCTGCACAGAGCAGGGCACAGTCTCACCCAGCACTCCAGGGCTTTGGTTCTCAAAGGGAGAGAAGGAGGATTAGGGAAGTGGGACAGAATGAATAGAGCAAAGCTCTAGTTCCTCAAATGTCTGCCAGACTAAAGTCAAAATAAGAGGGGACTATGAACTGTGAGGGAGCAATAGAAGTTTGACTGCTGTTGTCTCATCTTGGTGAACTGTTTCCTTGAATAAGCTTCCAGGAGGTGTCAGAGCTGCACTTTGTGGTGGTGCCACCAGCCCTACACCACGAGCTCTTCAGTTCTTTTTCTTGTCAACACAAAAAGACTATTCTGTAAGCAGTGGTTCCAAATACTGTGTCCCACACAGTGCCTTCCACACACAAATACCGAGCTGCAGTTCTGCACACTTGTTATACAGGAATAATTGCCCATTCTTCATCTGTTTGGGGGGAGCAGGGAGAGGCAGAATGAGGAATCTTCCCCCAAGACAGCAAGAAGGAGGAAGCTTTTAAATGTACTCTTTATTCAGGGCACGGAAGTGTCTGCAGTTTCCAGTTCTGATAGCTGTTGTCAGCATTAACTGGCAGACTTCAGTCTGATAGCTGCAAAAATAGTTCTTTCACCAGCAGCACCCAACTGGGAATAGATTGGAGTGACCTGCTGGCCATTGCAGGCTGATGGCTTAGAAGCAAATGGTAAAAACTTCGGGAACAAAACAGATCCACACCAAACCCCCTCACCCCCCTGGGCAAAAACCCTCTGTTAGAATGGTTAAAGATCTGATTCTGTACTGGTCAATGTTCTTTAGCTTTATTCCTTGAGAGAAACACTTTTCATTTAACTTGGCAGACACAGTCACCAGTTCTATAGATAAGGACATACCTT